GTAATAATAACATTACCTTTTATTTATAATTAAACAAATAAATCTTAACTTTTTTCTTTTTTAAGAGATAAGATAAAATTAAAATAATAATATCTAATATCTTATTAAAATAAAAGGTAAAACAATTAAATTAGAACACCAACATTTAGAAAGTGAGATAACTAAAGTAACGAAAAGAAGTAATATTTTAATGAGAGTCAAAATTAATATAAATTATTTTCATTTATTCTTTTTATTTTAAAATAATAATTATTTTTTAATTTTTTAAAATTATTTATTTGTCGATAATTTATGCATATATTTATAATTCCTTTATAAAAGAAATAAAATATACTTAAATTTTTTTTTGGATTTGGATAATTTATTAAAGTCAATAAATAATAATAAAATGAAAATAATACAATAATTACTTTAAACAAAGGAAGTAGAATATAGTATTTATAAAAAATTATTAAACAATCTTGGAGTCCCATTTTATTTTATTAGTAGAGGACTAAACAACAAACTTATTACTACCAAACGGCTCGTTCTAGCTGAGTAATATACTCTTTAATTAGAATTATTCATTTTTTGTAAATTTTATATTCAAATTTTACGAAATCATTTTTTTTATCTTTTAATTAATACTTGTAAGTAATTGTAATTTTTTTAAAAAAAACTTATTACCACCGGTAAAATATTTCTAGTATTTTTTTTATTTATCCTAAAATACATTTTGGGTTGACATCATGACATGCAAGATATTTGGAGCCAGTGCTGGAGATTTTATACAGAAAGAAAAGTAGCCTTGGAAACAGGGCATCGAATTTATCATTATTACGAAAATGACCTCCGGGGTTGTCATTTCTCTGGTCTTTTATCTGGATGGATATGGTTAATTTTGATTTTTGGAAATTAAGGGAAAGAAAAGGCGTTAGGTCCACGTTGTTCGCACGTGTGTAAAGTTTGGCACTCGGAATCTTTTTCCTTTTCATTCTTTTTTTTTTTAATTAAAGTAAATTAATATATATTTTTTATATTTGTTACGTAACGAAAAGTAATATTTTTTTATTTTTTATTTTATTTTATTTATATATCATATGATTTAAATTTAAAATTTTGTACTTTTAGTAAAAATATATTACTATTGAAATATTTAAGCCATTAATAATTAATATATATTTAAATAAATAGGGATCGAAAACAAAAGGGATCAATGAAGTTTGAAAACACAGTTTATGAGAAGTGATCTTCATTAACTTAGGATCATACCCACTAACTCGAATCAATTTTCCTTCTTATTCTTTAATAGAAATGTTTTGTGAAGTTCCAGTTTTATAAAATTAATCATAAAAGTAGTTTATACATATTAGTTTTTTTTTTATTTAATAATTTTATTTTACCATTTAAAGTAATTGAATTGTAAATTTATATTTTTTTATTTATTACCCTTCAATTGAACTTTAGCTATTTTTTAATAAAATACAAATATAATAATTAAGTAATTAAAATTTATATTTATTTCTATAATTAAACACAAATTAAATAAACAAGCTTATATATATAGTATATTTTTTTTCAAATTTCATCTTTCTGTATAATATTAATATCCTCTATTTCGCGATTAAAAAGATAATTGTTATCACATCTCCAAACGTTAAGCCTTTTGATTTCAACTCTTTGTTTTTTTTTTAATTCTTATAGTCAGCGACTACAGTAGTTGTTTTGATTAGCAAGTTATCCAGAATTTGACTTGGTATGTTTCTTACATGACGTATTGGCGTTTGAAGAAAATATTGACAGTTTTCATCGAGAAAGAAAAATGAATTATTGAAAGTTTCAACTTAGATCGAACGTTTGACCTTAGTTTTTTATATGTCAACTATACAATATTTAAATAAGGTATATTCCTTTTGTTGATTTAGCTTTAAAAAAATAATTTTTGAAACTATTCTTTTAAATTGAAGGAGTAAGAGAGTTCAACATATAATAATTAAGGTGCACTTGGTTTTCGGTCCAATAACGTTAGGTCACGTATAAGTGCATTCTTTATTTTCAAAACAATGGTTTGATTTTGACTCTTTGTAAATTTGTTATAAAAAAAAAGACATAATAATTAAGGTGGTTAAAAAGTTGAGTTGAATTAAATCAAGTATTTAGATATTTATATCTGATCTCATTTTAAAATAATTTTGAGTTTGAGTATTTGACAAACTTGTGTTCAAGTTCGGAGTATTTGAGTGAGTTCAAATTAACAAGTATTTTAATATGAATTTAAGTTTTTTTAATTGCATAATGTATCAATAATTAATTATTTAATTATAAATTTTTTTACATTTTTGAAAAATATTATAGTACCAAAAACTTTTTAAGTCTAGCAATAAAAAATAGGTTAAAATTCTATTTTGGTCCCTAAACTATTGTAGAGAATCTCAATTTGGTCTTTAAACTTAAAAAATTCTTGATTTAGTTTCTACTATTTACCATTTTAACCCCAACGTAGTCATTCCATTAAAAATCCACCATTAACTCATAGAGAATTAATGACATGACAAAAATTTGAAACACATCAAATAAAAATGATGATATGGCAACATGGCTAACTATATTCTTGTCATGAAGCCCACCAAAATTACAATTTTACTCTCATTTTCTTCCTTCAGCATCCTCTTTCTCAAGTCTTCTTCATTCATCCTTCTTTTTCTCTCTCTTTGCATCCTCCAAGATAGCTTTCATCACCATTTTTCTAAATCAAACAATTAATTTAATGAAATGGAAATTCATTCTTCATCATCAAATAACAAAATCCACAAAAAAAAAAATTTTTTTTTGAACCCAGCACTTGGGTTCAAAAGAAAGAACCCAAGCGTGGGTTCCATCGAACCCAGCAAGTGGGTTCCAAGGAACCCAATGCCTAGGTTTGAATGAACCCAATACTTGGGTTCCAAGAAACCCACACTTGAGTTC